GTGCATTGTGAGGCTTCACACCAGTTGGTGGTGCACTGTGAGGCTTCACACCAGTTGGTGGTGCACTGTGAGGCTTCACACCAGTTGGTGGTGCACTGTGAGGCTTCACACCAGTTGGTGGTGCACTGTGCGGCTTCACACCAGTTGGTGGTGCACTGCTCGGCAGCCTTAACAAACTAATGCAAAAGGCTGTGACAGAAATAAACAGGAGTGATAACACCAGCTGACACGTCAGTGTGGACAGGGAAAGATCACAAGGCCCTAGATGAAGAGCTGGAGGCACTCAATGGCTGCCGAGAGGCCGAGACTCAGTGTCTCCAGGGACACACCCCTGGTGGGCTAGCCAGTCCCAAGCGGTCAGCCCTAAACATGTACATACAAGCAATACTTAATGGACTCAGTACTTCTTAATAATTAGAGAAGCGGTCATAAATTGAGAGGAGGTGCGGGAGGAATTGAAACAGAGGGGAAAGATAAAATTATGTAAATATACTACTCATGTGTGAAATTTTCAAAAGTAAACAACAAAAGGAAACTAGATGGGGCAGGGCTGGGAGGTTCTCTGGCCACACCGCCTTGACTCTGGGTAAGGGGAGAGGCTGGCTGTGCCCAGCATCAGGGAAGTGCTTGGCAGAGTGAGGAGAAAGATCTGAGCGCTGTGAATGAGTCAGGTGGACTACAACAGCAATGTAACAAATGTGCCTTTGCAGAGGAAGCATCGGAGGTAGGAAGGTGTAGACACCTGCCCAAGGTCACAGCCTTCTTCAAGGGTGGGAGCAGAGCGTGGCTGTCCTCCTGCAGGGCTGGTACCTGGATTCCTGACTGTCCTGATGAAAATGCACAGGGATCAGCCTGGTAAAGATCTGCAGTGTGAGTTTGGCTCTAAAAGCAGCCTGAGGCCCTTCCGGCTTTGTTCAGTGAGTACCACGGGTCACGGCTTCTCCGCAAGTTCACTGTAACTGCCATGCAAAGTTTATTGTGGCGAGGAGGCCATTAATAAGAGACCCAGAGGTGAAACAGATTCCTGCTTGGGAGTT